GCAGAGGCGTGAGTGCCCGGCGTGGCCAGGACCCGGACGGCGAGGCTGCTCGGCGCCGTGGCAGCTGCGGGGAGAAGCCCAGTTGTGCCCAGATCATGGGACGGCTCTGGAGGACGCATGTCCTTGAGGGCGGAGGTGGCCGGAAGGGCTGTGGAAAGAGGACATGGGAGGCCCCTGGCCGGTTCCTTCCCTGTTCCCCCTGCTCCGTGCCCCCAGGGACTGGCCTCGGAGAAAGCGTCCAGCATCCCAGCTTCCGCTGGGACCCGGGCGGGGGTCAGGGGCATGGTGACCGGATCCCTCATGACCCCTGGGTTCAGGGGGTCGGGGCCTGAGGGGGAAGTGGGTGGGTGAGGGGAGTCGCCTGGTGGTCCGCCTGTGGTCGGGGCTGTGGCCTCTTGTGACACCAGCTGTGAGGTGTGGGTCTAAGCCCCGCCCTGGCCACATCTTCCCTGCGTCGGTGCCCGGAGTGCGTTCTGGTTCTGGTGGGACCCGGTTGGCCTGGTGGCCGTGACCGACTGCCAGGTGCTCGAAGACCATGCGTATGGCAACCCCTCTTATGGCTCAGAGTGTGGACAGCCAGCAGGTGAACGGGCCACAGGCTGACAGCAGGCCAGGAGCACCCTGCTTGTAAAGGGACACGCCGTGGCCGGTGTGGCTCCGTGGATAGAGCGTCAGCCCACAGACTGAAAGGTCCTGGGTTCGATTGCAGTCAAGGGTATGTACCTTGGTTCTGGCTCAGTCCCGGCACTGGTTTGGGTACGTGGGAAGGCAATCAATGGATGTGTCTCTCTCATATCAATGTTTCTCTCCCTCTGTCTCTCCCTCTCCCTTTCACTCTCTCTAAAAATCAATGGAAAAAATATCCTCGGGTGAGGAGTAACAAAAAAATAAAAATAAAAAGGTAAAGGCCACAGTGACAGTGTCTCCGTCCATCTGAAACTGGAGGAACCCTCCCCCGGGTGTTTCTGGAGGCACACACACCGTGAGAGCGGACTGCAGCCGGCGGTGTGGGCATTGAGACCGCCGTGGGGCACCACAGGCCAGGGCTCCCTAGGTCTGCCCAGACCTCCCTGCAGCACTGGCCACCCTCTCAGAGCATGAGGACCCTCTCCTGGCTGGCAGCAGCTGGGTGCACCCCGACCCCAGTGTGCAGGGGGCGCCCAGGGTTTCTGTGAGGGTCAGAGGTCGGGCTCCGCACCCCTGGCTGCTCTGGCAATGAGTCCCCACAAAAGCCTCCAGGACAAGCTCATGTCTCAGCCAGGCCCACAGGGCAGGTGTGTCCGGTGCTGGCCCGGGGCCCTCCTCGTCCACTGTGCTCCCTGCGGTGTGACCCGGAGGGTCCTGTTGCCTGAGGGGCCTGGGCGGCACTCAGCATAGGGCCTGGCACGTGGTAGGTGCTCAGTAGCTGTAAGTTCAGGGCCCCGTCCTTCCTGACCAGAATGTGACTTGAAGACTCCCAGGAGAAGTCATGGCGGGCTGCCTGAAGGAGGCAGCCGAAGGCATGGACAGGCGGGTAGCGGTATGCTGGCAGAGGGGCTCCTCACCTGGGCCTCCGGTAGTGGTGGTGCTTGGGGTGAGTTTCTCTGAGAAAGGTGACATGTGGGTCACTGAGGTGGTCAGCTCCGCCTCGTCCTTCAGGGTTTTCCAAGATGCTGAAACCAGAGGGGCAGTGGGCAGCTGCGGTCAGTGAGCATTGTGGACGCAGGGGGGACAGGCTGCTGGGTGGACAGGAAGACGTGTGTAGGGCAGGGGAGGGGTAGGGAGGGGCCGGTTTGGGCTGCTGCCTCCAGCACTCTGGGGACAGGGGTGGAAGGGACTGGGTTCTAATGCTGGAGCTGGAGCGGCTGAGGGCAGAGTGGGGGGGTAGGGGGCGAGCTGCTCTGAGGGGTGGCTGGGTTCCCATTGGGGCCCAGTCCCTGCTTTGGTCGTTGAGGTCATCCCCTGAAGATGCTGGGACATGCTGGAAGCCCCCCACCTGGCCACTGGAAGGTCTTGGACATGTGCTTGGTGCTGCAGCTGTATTGGACAGGCTTCCAGACGAAGGTTTGATAGAAGAGGTACTGGACCTTCTCCTCCAAGCGTCTCATCACAGAGTAATTTGCCGGCAGCTTCTCTGCTCCTTTGTGCCACGTGGCTGAGTTGGTCCCCGTCACCAAGCAGGCCAGGGTCACGGACCCGCCTTCTTTTGGGGCCTTGCACTCCAGGGCCATGGGGAGCACAGCAGGCACATCTGGAAGACAGACAGGGGGTGCTTCTGAGGCCAGGCACTGCCCAGGGCACAGGGCAGCATGGGAGAGAGAGGCCCGGTCCTGGGGGGCCTGGCAGAGCCCTGGAGGGGAAGCCAGACAAACCCCGATCCCCTTGCTCTAGGCCCCTCCTGTTCTAGCCCACCCCAGGGAGTCACTGGGGGGTGGGGGGTACCCAGTTCAGGATGTGCCCAGGGTGATGGGCCTGAAGGCCCCATCTGCCCGGCAGGGCAGGCACAGCATGGCTGGACTTGTGTGCCGTCACCTGAGCAGCAGTGAGGTCAGCCCTTCCTGTCCCCAACTCCTGCCTCCTAGGGCTCTGCTGCTTGGGACCTGCCTGCGGGGACTTTGGTCTCAGAGGGCGTGTTCATTACTGTCCTGGGGGGAGGTGGGGCACATGGCACCATCAGCCAATGTGCAGGCAGGTGCCACCCTGCTCATGTTTCAGGCCTGGACCCTTGCAAGGTTGTCACTCATGGATGCTGGGTTCTGGGACTGGCTGCTCCCTGGAGGGTTGGCTCACAGCTTCCTCATCCTCCGGCCCCTGCTCACCTGCATAGCTCTTCCAGCTCCCCCAGCTCCTGCCCTCCCGCCTCCCCCCTGCTCACCTGCATAGCTCTGCCAGCTCCCTCAGCTCCTGGGCAGCTCCTGCCTTCCCGCCAGTCCCCTGCTCACCTGCATAGCTCTGCCAGCTCCCTTGCCTCCCGCCTGCCCCCTGCTCACTTGCATAGCTCTGCCAGCTCCCACCCAGCTCCTGGGCAGCTCCCTGCCCTCCTGCCTTCCCTCTGCTCACCTGTATAGCTCTGCCAGCTCCCACCCAGCTCCAGGCAGCTCCCTGCCCTCCCTCCAGTCCCCTGCTCACCTGCATAGCTCTGCCAGCTCCCACCCAGCTCCTGGGCAGCTCCCTGCCCTCTTGCCTGCCCCCTGCTCCCCTGCATAGCTCTGCCAGCCCCCACCTAGCTCCTGGGCAGCACCCTGCCCTCCCGTCTGCCCCCTGGTCCCCTGCATAGCTCTACTAGCTCCCCCAGCTCCTGGGCAGCTCCTGCCCTCCCGCCTGCCCCCTGTACACCTGCATTGTTGTCCATAAAGTTTATGCCATAGCCCCTGCCCCGTCTTCCCTAAGGTCCCCTCCCTACAAGTCAATGAGCTCCATCTGCGCTGCGTGTCTCCCCGCAGCTGCCGCCGGGCCCCCGGCTGAGCCCAGAGCACTCAGCCCAGTAGCTCCACTCCTGGTCTCATTCCTTCCCGGCCGCTCTGGCTTTGCTCCCTGGAGCTTTCAGCTGCCCGCCCTCTCTCTGGCAAGCTTGTCCCCTACAACCTCTGCCACCCTGCCCTGGCCCAGAGCAGACCCCTCCTCACTTTCCCCTCTGGGAGCCCCTCTGGACCTTTGCTCTTTCC